TTTTTAGTACATATTAACACATATTATATCTGAAAACCGGGCCATTTTAGATTAAACTCTTTCGTTAGGACCAAATTTTGTTGAATTCTATTGGATTTGGCGATTCTATCCCCCACATAAACAAGCAGTGACGTCATAGTGAAATAAGGCAATTTATCTATATGGTTTTATATTCAGAGCCGTCTGCTACCACTCCAGAAACATTCTCGACTACTAAAACAACTACAAGGAACCGTAAGTGAATATACTTGTTTGTTAGAATAAACCTGTTCTACATAGCATTTATTAGAGTTACACTCTCTTGATTTCAAATAATTGTTGCATTTGGGCCAATTTCAGTCTGTACATTTCATTTATTTGACACAAATAAATGCGGTGGGTCGGTGGGCCGATTTCATCCGTTCCTTCGTTCGCTCCTTTTTTTAAATCTCAGTTTCCTCTATTCACATGCTCACTAGTTCATCGGAGAGAGGGGGTAATTTTCTTAACATTTTGATATTATATTCGCAGCTTTCGCACCTTATAAAAATCGACTGAAATGGTTGTATTGTTTATTGCTTCTATTGCCGATTGGGTTAGCAGTGTATTACTTTAAATGTTGGAGGAAACGCAAGTATCAGCGGGGAGAAACAATTCAATTCAACGAGGTTAGAAATGTTGAAATGTTAATGAATTTTTTGCAATTTGAATTCAAATATAATTTGCTTATTTCTTTTTGCCCCAGACGAACTATGAAGACGAACGCAGATCCAGTGATAACCAGTTGCTTAAAGAAGTGAAATCGGATGCTGTTGGTAATCAGTCTAATGACCTTTTGTTAAAAACTCCTCTATCTAAAGATGTGTAAATTTCATAGTTCGTTTCGTAGTAGCCATGTAAACATGCCTTAAGCTAAGTACCTTTAAGTGTTCTCACACATCCCCCTTCCTAAATTCTAGTTTCATAAAGGTTCACGCTCATCTTTAGTTAGCAACTCGAATATCCCGTTAAGTCTGCTAACTTTTAATTTTAATTTCTGTAATATAAAAAAATATATTTTCAGTTCATTTTAGCATAGATACTGTAATCTACCAAAGCTGAATGCCGAGAAAAATACTATTTTAATTTTTCTTTGAAAGTGCAGATTGAGAAAGCCTTCAAAAAATTAACGTCACACCCATCTGAAATGAAATTTTGACCAATCAAAACGCGCGTTATAGCATTTTGAAGTTATTTGTTAAACAACTGGTCTGAACTGAACTTCTCTATAGGGGGCTACGATCAAGTTTTCGACTGCTTAAAGAGCGTTAATCAATCTTTTGAAAGCTATAGAACAAAGAAAC